ACACACTGCACCTGATGGCCATGAGAGGGGAGGATAGGTTAACTTTTATTTTTTAACTGATTCTGCTCGAGTTGCTTCCTGCTTCACCTCAGCCCCTCATGACAGCTCTGCACCCCCACTAGCCTAGTCCTTGCCTCCTAACAGTGCTCCAGCTCTGCTGGTCCCTAGCAAGCTGCACGATGCTGCCAGAGGTATTACTCATGCAAGCTCGGCTCTGCTCTCGGGAGAGTTAAACCTCCTGGCTGCCAGACTGAATTAGAGCTTGTGTCTCTCCACACTTGCATCAGAGTGATTTGGGAACAGGCCTGGTGAAGCCACACTACTGAAAGCAAGTGAGGAGCCCAGGCAGGAGCTAGGAGAGAGGAGTGAGCAGGGTGGCTGGCTCAGGGTGGCAGAGAGGGGAGGGAGGGGTGAGCAAGCTGTTTGAAATATTCAGGTGCTGAGCAGGAGCAGGTGGCCGCCCCATGGGACAGAGAAGCTCTGACACCATGAATAAGTGATGAACAAATCTGTGTTGCCCAGGTGACGGGCACACAGAAAATGGGATTGCAGCCACTCCCCAGGACCTTGGCCTCACTAACAGACCCGGCCTAAGCAAGGGCCCTTAAGCAGTGCAGACAGTCATACATTGGGCTTTTAGCCCCTTCCCTAGGACAGCCTCATCTCCCCTGCCTGCCTAGGTCCATGGGGAGAGCTGGATGGAGAAGGAATGCTTCTCCAGATCAGGGTATGTCAACTCCAACTGCTCAGTGTGGAGAAAGTGAATCGCAACAGAAACCTGCTTTCTGCCTTTAGGTAGGTGACTCCCAGCCTGTAACTAGGGATAGACTAAATTCTCTGAGCCACTAGTTTCTGTGGTTCACTCCTTTCTGGGGGTAATGGGCCAAAAATCTAAGTCAGAACAAAACATTTACCAGGGGAGGATTTGGCTCAGTTTCCAGGAACTTGGGGTGGTTGCTGCTGCTCTGGAGTTATATTGGACAGAATGTCCTGAGGACTGTCAAATAGCATCTGGGCAGCACTGAATCCGCTTTTCATTTCTAGGGGGAATGTGAGGGAGGGCCCTGGGTATCCTGCTGGGCTACTGCAGAGAGGAAAGTGATTTAACCTGACCCAGAAACCTCTGCAGAGCCTCACAAATAATTGTGATGATGACAAAATAGACTCTCATGGGGCTGGATGGAAAATAAGGAAACTGCACACAGGCAGCCTGTTGGAACAGGAAGAATCAGAGCAGGGATCAAAGAGTTTTCAATGACAGCAATTGTATACTGTGAAATGCACCTCAGAGCAGCAGCTATAAACCCACCTACTTCATGAGGCTTAAGACTTTGAGTGTTTGTGGACCGCAGTTGTGATGTGTACCCCTGTTAGCGATGTAAACAGAAACTAGTTCCCCAGTCACAAATTAGTGACCCTTTTGGGTTTCCTTCCCACAACAAAAAAGGCACACCTGGATCTCCTCCCAGCAGACATGAAGTCTGAGTGTAGCAGACGAAAACATAACTAATGGTACATATTTTCTTGAGGACAAAGATTGCAGAGGTTGATGGCACCCACACAGTCAACACCACTGACCAGAAGTGGCAAAGGGATGTTAACTGGAGCAAGAAGCATGTTCATTCATCAACACTCACCTTGTTGCATTAATAAGAAGCAATTTAATTGGAGCAACACATTCTGGAAGGCTCAGGCAGCCAGTGCAAAGTATCCGTGAAATTTTTAAATCAAACAGGCATTAGAAAATCCTGCATCCTAACACAAGGGGATTCTCTGCAATATATCTTCCTAAGAGACAAAAAGCTGCACACCACTAGGAATCATTGATTGCTTTGGAAAAAAAGACTGAGTTTTGATCACTCTTGGCCTATTGGACAAAATAAAGCTAAATACAATATATATGATGCTGCAAAATCCATTTTTATATTTAAGCTACAAATACCAGCATAAGATGGTCTGTGGCCATCTGGTTTAAAATGCAGCCTCTGTCAAAATTTTTCTAGAAATTAAATGCAAATTTGCTGCATGGGTACAAACTAATAACATATTTAAGCGGGAACTAAAAGGATATTTTCTGTAGCTACCAGAGACGGAAGAGTGAGACCTTTTCTGGTTTGATGCATTATGGAAAGTGAACAAATACTGCTAATATGACGTCATGCTTTATGTCTGCTTGGAACAGATATGAATGTCTCTGCAGGGTGGTAGTTACAGGGTATCTGGAGAACAAACCTATTGATATTGTGGTAAGGGCACCACCTCTACTTCAGTTGCTGTGTCTTCTTAAAAGGCTCCACGCTTCTTTCAACCATTTTGTTACATCGGAAATGCCTCCCTCTCAGAAATGTCCCGCTCTCCAACATGATTTTCCAGTAGAGCATCTTGAACCCTACAGGAATAACTGGAGAGAAATCTCCCTTATTTTTCTCTCTTGCCCCCAAGAGAAGGAGGGTTGAATGGATAGGGCAGTGTGTTGCAATTAGGACTGCTGGGTTCTCCCTGTGCTGGTAACACAGAACACAAATTTGGATGTTGGCCATCTTGTTTCAGTTTCCCAAAGGCCTAAGCATCATGTAGCCTTATCTCTCCCATTCCTGGGGGGTTTTGTGCCCTTTGTAACACATTATCAGCCATGCCTTTGGGTTCCTATATGAGGGTTGAAACCTGCCTGTTTCCCATAGAAAGTGGCTGAAGTGGCTTGTACAACTTCAGATAGAGCAGGGCACACGACCTCTTCGTGACACCTCAGCTCAAAAATAGCATAGCTGGTGATGTGCTTGACAGTGTTGTCTCCAAGACATGCTGCCCGGATCAGTATCAAAGATGCCTGATACAAAAAACTCTACCTCTGAATAACCGGTAGCCACTGACTCCACCGGTGGAGGACAAATTGCAGGGCTCTGTGTGTGTGGCTCCATAAGGGTGGCAGCAGCCCACTTCCCAAGGGTTAATCCTAGTGGATAACAAGCACACCAAAGGAAGCTGCTCCTTGAGTCTGGGTGTGCTGTGATATTCCTTGCCACAGAATGCATGGAGCATCTACAAGTCTAAAATCAAAACAGATTCAAAAGTGAATAGATGAATTCCCTGAAGAAAAAGACATCATGGACTATTAAAAGCAAAGACATAAACTCATATTACCTTTTCTCCCCCTCAACCTCCTGCTTTGCTCTTTTTGTGCAATATTCACATCTTTGAGAGAAAATCTGTGCTGTTCCTGGAGGGTGATCATCCCCCAGGCGCCTTTTGGTCTAGCTGAGGTCACATGCTACAGGAGTCTCTATCACTATAAAAAGCAGAAATGCATACAGGAATGCATATTATTTACAACTGTCTATTAGTGTGCGTGGAATAGCATTCAGTGCTGCTACAGGAACCCTGACAGCTCTGGGCTTGTGCCTCTTTGCTTTGCACTGCCACAACACAAACGCACCGGTGAGCTCTCCTTGGAGCCATGGGATCCATCACGTGAGGATGGGTCTGAAACCCTCCAGAGCCAAAGTCTGCTGGGAAGGTTGGGCAGGGGGTGTCTGAGCGGTAGGCAGTGAAATTCCAAGCAAGCTGCTCCTGCTTGCTGCTGTTCCCATGGAAACAGGGGAAAGGCGAGAGGAAATGCATCCCAGCCTCTTTTGAAGATGAGCTCCTTCAGCAGCACCCCCGGCCATCACACCTATTCCCATAAGAAGCAGGGTTTGGCAATTCCCCTCAGATGCATCTCCTTGAGTGAGACTATCAAGCCTATGGACTGTTCCTTCCTCACCCCAGACAACAGTGGGCAAGAGCATGCCAATCATCTCATTGCCAGAGCTCAGAAAAAGTGAAGCAGTTTCCAGCAAATTCTGCAGCTTATGCTTCTCCGCAGTTTGGAACTAGGGAAGCACTGGCAGAGACACCTATTTCCTGACTGTCAAGGAAGCTGGACTCTACTTGCGATATCTGGACTTGAACATGTCAGAACCCTTCCCAAGCTCGGCGTGTGTGTCCCCTGTGTGTTTAGATTGAAGGTCTGAAGAGACTTTTGCACTCATCCCTGCAACCAAGCCAGTCAGCTCTGCGTGTGAAATGCACTGCAGTTGGCTCTGCAATAGCTAGCTGAGTATCCTTGGGCCCGATGGAGATCATAGCAGCGAAGATGTTGCCCAACCTGTTTTCCCTGAGTGCTAGCATTAGCACTGATGGTCACCCCTACCCCCCCTCCGCCGACTAGCTGGGATGCCCATATATCAGAAAAACAGACGGAGTTCACGCAAAGTGCTCTTGGTTCTCCTGCTTCGTCCCGAGGGGAGGAAAACCCACGGGACCCCTCAACTCCCCATCAGCAGCCCGGCTGGGACCGAAGTCCGCCTGGACCGCCTGACGCCCCCTCGGCAGGGCTGGGAGCGGGAGCCCTCCCCGGCCGCGCCGGGCGGCGGCTCCACTCTCGGTGACGCTCGGGAGGGGAGGCTGCGCTGGGCTCCCTCCCTACCTGCCTGCTCCTTGCCTGCCTCCCTGCCTGCCTCCCTCTCTGCTGCCGGCCGGCGCCTCAAGGTCATCCGCCGCCCCGCTCGGGCGGGCGCGGGTCCCGCCGCGCCCCGATCCGATCCCAGC